TGGGAACCATAACTGGTCATTCTCCACCAAGTACTTCACCAACTATGGGGTTTAATGCCAGGTTTCATTCTCAATATGTGCCTCATTCTCAACCAACACAGCACTATTCTCAAGCAAGTCAACTTCCTAATTCACACTCCAATAATAGAGGTCGAGGCTTTCACGGAAATAATAGTGGTGGCCGTTTAAACTCCCAACCAAGGTCTTTTGTTCCCAAGTTTTCTTCTGGTCCAAAAACACAGGCAATTCCTGAATGTCAGATCTGTAATAAGAGAGGTCACACAGCTACAAATTGCTTTTATCGAATCCCTGACAATTCTGCTCATCCTCCTGTTGTGGAATGTCAAATCTGTGGGAAACGTGGACATATTGCTTTAAATTGCTATCACAGAGCGAATTTTGCTTATCAGGGAGCCACTCCACCTTCTTCTATACAAGCTATGACAGCACACATGCCTTCTGTGTATACTCCTGATGATTTGTGGATAGCAGATAGTGGAGCTTCACATCATATGACTCCACATGTCTCCAATCTGATGACTGCTACTCCATACTCTTCTGAGAATAAAGTGACTGTAGGAAGTGGAGAAGGTTTGGTTATTTCGAACATTGGTACTTCTAAGTTGACAGATCTCCCTGGTTCTTTACATTTAAATACTGTGTTCCATGTTCCTCATCTTGCTGCCAATCTCTTATCTGTTTACCAGTTATGTAGAGACAATCACTGCAGGGTTATCTTTGATGAACACTACATCTATGTGCAGGACAAGCAAACCAATCAGATTTTGTACCAAGGGCAGAGTAAACAAGGCCTCTATCCCATTCCTCAATTTGAGAACAATGCCTCTTCTACTTCCAAAATTCAATCTAATAAATCTGCAATAGCTTCTCAGCCTTCCCCAAAGGCTTTTCTAGGACAACAAGTAAAGTCAAAGCTATGGCATCTTCGATTGGGACATGTCTCCAATGAAGTGCTGCATCATATGCTTAAGACCTCTCAGATCACTTGTCATGCAGATACTAGTTCTGAAGTTTGTGTTGCTTGTATTCAAGGCAAAATGCATAGATTACCATTTTCTCATTCCCAATCCACAACTGTAGTACCTTTTCATAAGCTTCACAGTGATGTTTGGGGACCTTCAGCTTGTATAGCAGTAGGAGGTTTTCGATATTATCTTACCATCATTGATGACTGTACAAGATACATGTGGATTTTCCCACTTATTAATAAATCTGATGTTTTGCCAACATTCATCAAGTTTCATGCCTATGTAGTTAATCAATATCAAGCTCATATCAAGATTTTTCAATCAGATGGAGGGGGTGAGTATACTAGTAAAGCTTTTCAGGAGTTCTTATCATCTAAAGGTATCAGTCATCACCTATCTTGTCCTTACACTCCTCAGCAAAATGGAGTTGCTGAGAGAAAGAATAGACATGTGATAGAGACAGCTCTTACTCTCCTACAGACAGCTGAATTGCCTACTAATCTCTGGTATTATGCAGCAGCTCATGCAGTTTTCCTCATCAATAGAATGCCTTGCAAAGGCTTGAACATGACTTCTCCATATTATAAGTTCTTTGGTCATCATCCAGTTTTAAGTGCCATGAAGGTGTTTGGTTCAGCTGTATATCCTTTGCTCAAACAGTATAATGCTCATAAATTGGAATCTCGATCATCCCAGTGTGTTTTTCTAGGATATTCATTGAGTCATAAAGGAGTTTATTGCTATAATATGCTCAATCAGAAACTTCACATTTCTAGACATGTGATTCATGATGAGAGTCTCTTTCCCTTTAAGTTGTTAAAGTCGCCTACAATTTCTACTCCAGTTGCTTCATCTAATGCAAGGCCAGTCAATATCTCAGTTACTTTGCCTCATACATCTTCCCAACAATCTACCTCTTCTGCTCAGTCTTCTATGGAAACTCATTTAGATCTTCCAATGTCCGATAATACTGAGTCCTTGGAGTTCTCATCGGGTTCTGTTTTACCTGTTACTTCACCCAATCAGTTGGAGGTAGTGTTACCTATTTCACCTGACTCAACTATTCATGAGTCATCAGATGCCTATGCAATGCCTTATTCTACTAACTGTCATCCCATGCAAACAAGACTCAAGTCTGGAGTTGTTCAGAAAAGACAATTTCCAGAATTCTCATGCTTTGCAACTATGCTTACTTCTGTCATAGAACCTGAGGCTCCAACTTATTTTAAGGCAGCAGCAGCTCAACCAGAATGGCAACAGGCTATGGCAGAGGAAATTCAAGCTCTCCAATTGCAAGGTACATGGAATCTTGTTCCTCCTCCTCATGACAAGAATATTGTAGGATGTAGGTGGATATATAAAATAAAAAGAAATTCAGATGGAACAATTTCACGATACAAAGCTAGGCTGGTAGCTCAAGGATTCAGTCAAGAGCATGGTTTGGATTATGATGAAACCTTTAGTCCTGTAGTGAGACACACCACAGTTAGATTAGTACTCAGTTTAGCTGCTATGTTTAAATGGGATTTACGTCAATTAGATGTAAAAAATGCTTTCCTTCATGGGGAATTACAAGAAGAGGTTTATATGCGGCAACCTCAAGGTTTTATTGACTCTACATGTCCTAATTATGTGTGCAAATTACAGAAATCCCTATATGGTTTAAAACAGGCTCCGCGTGCATGGAATGCCAAGTTTACAGGTTATTTGCCTTCTTTGGGGTTTCAATCTTCTCACTCAGATCCTAGTCTGTTTGTCAGACAGAATTCTACCTCTGTGGTTATCCTATTATTGTATGTTGATGATATCATCATCACTGGATCAGATACACAAGTGGTACAATCTGTTATTGATTCTTTGGGAGAGGTATTTGATATGAAAGACATAGGTCGTCTTACCTATTTTCTGGGATTGGAGGTTCATTATCAGGACAATGGTGATATCTTTGTCAATCAAGCTAAGTATGCTCGAGATTTGTTTAAGAAAGCAGGCATGGACACTTGTAAATCATGTTTGACTCCAATTAAACCTCATCAGTATATGTTGAAAGATGAAGGTACTCTTCTTTCTGATCCAACATTGTATCGAAGTCTTGTTGGAGCATTACAATATTTGACCTTTACACGACCAGATATTGCCTTTGCAGTAAATACAGTATGTCAGTTCATGAATGCTCCCACTGATACACATTTTGCTTTAGTTAAGAGTTAATTACTCAAATGGTCCTCAAATTTGTACCTGATTTACATTTTGGTCCCTAAACTAAATTATTCGTTTGGTCATTGAAAGCTAGATATGGATTTAACATTTGCACAAAACTGAAATACGCAATAAAATATATTTATATATACACAGAGAGCTTCTATTGAAGGATCTCTCAAATAAGCTTATTTGAGAGACACTCTTGTAGGGCCTACTCCGGATTATATTTCACTAATCCAAACCTTCTATTTTGTAGATATTCATTCAAATATCATCTCTACAAAAAATAACTTCAATCTAATATAATTTGACCACTCAATTAAATAATTGAAATTTTAGTACCTTCTTGAAGCCCATGTTCATTGATTTTGTAGGACACAATTGGATGTCTAACCGGTTTCCGATTTGTCTAATTTTTTGTAAGGATGATCTAAGAATGAAGACTTAAAAAAATAGATGGTTTGGATCGTTGAAAAAAAATCCCTCAAATAAAATTATTTGAAGAATCCCTCAATAAAATTGCAATGTGGAGGACTAAAATGATGATTTTTGAAAATCTCAAGGACGATTTGTGATAAGAATGATAAAGAGAGTTAAAACTTCAGTTGCATATTCACTCAAAATTATTATTGGGAGGAAAGAAGGTAGGGTCATTAGAGTCAACCCCTCATTGTTCACTTGTAATGTCCTCCAAGTAATGTCCTCCTTTCATCATTCTTAAATGGAAAGGGTTTTTTAAGAGAGCTATTTAGTCATTTTTCCGTGATTTTGATGAAGGTAATACTTTTCAGAAACAAAAATTGGTTATGTAATGGATGGCTACCCTACGTTTTGGCTTAAATGGCACGAAGAAGGAAGAGAAAGAAACAATTGCTTTTATCATTATTCCCCGGGACCCTTTACTTCACATGAAAGAGACTAGAAGATGGATTTATACTATACGATATAAAAATTAATAAATTAAATATATGGATCCTATATATATATATATATTATAATATACCATCCCGCTCACCTAAAGACTCTAATATATATATTATAATTGAGTGAAGCCCCAATTTACTCCTCCATCTAAGATCTTAAGTTTCCTCCTTCCCAGTATCTCTTGTATAAAATATTATAAAAATAATAATTAATTTATGTTTATATTAAATGGCACTATTATGAACATGATGGTCTCACGATTGAAAAGCAAGTGTACAATATCCACGTACTGTTCTCCGATAGGGCCAGATATTTGCTAAGTCAATTTACTAAAGTTGGGATTGACAAAATGAACCATGACCTTGATGGAAATTAAGGAGAGGGAAATACTTGCCTCCTTCCCTGAAAATAAGAGCGTTTATTTTTTTACCAATCACAGGTTGATGTGTATATAAAGATTTTTTTTGTTTGTGTTTTTTTATGAATTATTTTTGCATATGTGTTAAATTGTGATTTGCATAAAGTGGAAATGTCCCTTCTAGGGAAAGAGAGAAGCAGTGTCCTTTAGAAGAGGCTAAGAGAAGCAGTGTCCTTAATGTCTCTTGTGTTTTGTTTTTGTTGCTTTGTAGGAACTCTTCTTTGTCTGGGTGAGAAGCTTGGTTATAGCCTTGTGCCTTTGAGGTCTAGCTGTTTCTACCTAGTTTTTGTGTCTTGCTATTGAGCTTTTGGCTCTGTTTGTATTTTGTTTTCTCTGGGTTTCTTTAATGATCAGACTTCGAACAAAAAAAAAAAAAGATAACACATACTACCACCACCACAAGAACAATATATAATATTTTCTATCTTAGAAAGAAAAAAAAGACTAATTAATAATATAGAAATTAATTAACACCAAGTAAACGATATTATTTATTATCAACAATGAGAAATAGATAGATACATAGCACTCATATAACAAGCACACATAAGCACTCAACAATTATAACATTGTTGAGATCAAACCTCACTCATAACAGATAAGTAAAATCACAATATATAAATATAAAATATAGTATTTATTTGTAGATTTAGAAGAGATGGTGGTGCTTCTTTCCATGAGACTCTTCCTCTTCTTCCTTTGTCTCTTTCTTCTCATGATGCTCATGGAAGGCAAACCCACCAGACCCAACTGCAGCTGCTGCAGCAATCTCCTCCTCTATCTTGTGCCTGTGAGCATGCTCTGGGTCTTTCTTTGACTCGTGCTTCTCATGCTGCACATCACATCACATCTCATGATCATTATTAAATTAAATAAGAGTTAATTAATTAGGATATGGTATTTTAATTGTATTATATGTCTCATCTGGACCATTGTTAAATGAAAATATCTTTATAATTTTGTGAAATTATTTCTGGGACAGATCTTAATTACATTAGTCTCAGAAAAAAACCTGGAAATTAACAGACATTTTGTGGCCTCACATAACTTAATCCATATGATACTTGAGAAAATTTATGTTTCACACTTCTCTTGTTATGTTGACAAGACCTAACAAGCTTAAAAGCATTCGCATTAGTTATTGGGAGATGAGCCTTGAACGTGTAAGAATTTCTGGCTGTGATGCTTCACATTTAAGGTTAATATATAACTAAAATCATGAACAAAATTAGAAGATTAATATATAAAAGGTGGTTAAATCCATACCAGGGCAAAAACACCAGCAGCAGCAACCCCGGCCTCGCCTAGGTACTCAAGATGCTTGTGGTGCTTCTCCTCCTTCTTGTAGTCAATTTCAGATTCATGGGTGGCAGTGGTGCCATATGCAGCAGTCTCGCTGTAGCGGCCGCCGCGGGGTCCATCATCGGAGTAATCAGCGCTCTCTCCATAGCCGCCACCACCACCACCGTAGCCGCTGCCGGGACGTCCTTCACCAGAATAAGCAGTGTTGTCACCGTAGCCACCACCACCGTAGCCGCTGCCGGTACGTCCTTCATCAGAGTAACCACCAGACTGAGGGTAGTCTGAGGTTTCAATGGGTCTGTCTTCATCCTTGTGGTGGTGGAAGTGGCCGTGGTGGTGCCTCTCTTCAGACATGGCGGGGTATTTTGGGTATTATATCGGAAATGGGACGACGGAGAGCAAGATTAATATGAGAAGAGGTTTTGATGGTGTGAGACAGTTGGGTGCATGGTGGTGGGTATTTATAAGTGTGCGGGTGCCAAACTTCTTTTCCTCGGCTCTTCACTCTCTCCTATCGCACGCTCAAATATAACCTTAGGTTAAAAGTAGTTTGATTTTTGGAGGAAGGGGAAAACTTTATAAATGTCACATCTACAATTCATCATCGTAAAACAAACATTTAAGAAAAATCACATCTCAATTTTTCAAAATGCTTAATTTGTCGTATGTCACTGTAACTCTATCCAAAATGTTGTTAAAATTTGTCACGTATGTGTTGTACATGCCACATATTCTAACTTAGGAATTTTGATAAATCAAAATAACATCTCTCTTAAAATTTTCTTTGAGTGACAAATTGAAATTAGTATATAAGTAGTATAAGCGACATTTCTAAAATTTTCTCCTAATAGTAAATATCTTAAAATAAGACACTTGATTTTGCCACGTGCCATGCTTTGGTGAACGGTTAGGATTTGCTGTCCTTTCTATAAATCGAATGTAAAGTGATAGGTAGATACCCATCTAAAGTGGGGTATTATGATAACATTTTCTTTAATAAAAAGTAGACAATTGTATTCATATTATATGAGTTAAATCGTATTATATTATTATACTATAATGCAGAATGAAAGTCACAAAATGCCATCAAAATAATTCAAATCTAGTTTTATTTAAGAAATTCGTGGACTGAACTCATTGGCAGGTAGACATGGCTAGAGCAGAAGCTTCCTTTGTTGTTCTGGTCATTGTAGTTCTATCTGGAATAATATTTCTATATTATATTGTTATTTTTAATTGTTTAACTTTGTTGTGATATTATTTTATTTTGTTTTCAAGATCAATAATCTGTTGATAAACGTTCAAGCATCGCATTGAAAATAAACTTTGTCATTTAGTTTTTATTATTATTTTAAAATAGATAAAATTAAGCGTTCAGACACTAATCAGTAAGAAAACATTCCGGCAAGATTGCTAATTTGCTGGTCCCCCTTAATCCATTTTGGAGTAAGAGAGAGAATAAGTGGAGGAAATGCTTTGGTTGGGGCCGATGGTAGTGAGAAATAATTCACAGATCAATGAATGTTGCGGATTGCCGTCTACTTCTCTTGGATCAAGTAATAGTTTGTGATAATAATTGTGATCAAGGTGGCTATTAAATTTATAATTTCATCAAAAACTTATGTTTTGTTACTGAAAACCCATGTTAATTAACCAATTTATTATAAACTTCAAGCTATATAAATATAAAAATGATTTGTAAGCATGTGTAATGTGTTAAGTTGTGGGTGAGTGGCCAACATGGGACTTGCAGATTAGTATTTTCAGGTTCGAAACTCGACACATTCTCAGTGTGTGAGAAAACTTGACTCCTTCAATATCACTTATATTAAAAATAATAATAATTAAAAAAAAAAGTTGTGGTGAGTGAAGTCACCCAACTACTTATGGATAAATGGGTCCTCCTTGCATAAAATCTGACACGTTATCCAATTAAATTAACAGTTAGTTGGATAGGTGTGGGGTGAGAGAGAAATTGAAACAGGACAAACACTAATACAAGATGATTTTCAGGGAAAAGCAGATAAACCCTAAAAAGTTGAGGTGGGAACCAAATCCCTCCTTTTCTTCTTGACTAAGACAATTTATTATGGCCGGTGGTGGAGCTCGTTTGAGTGGCAGTTGGAGCCTGGGGTTTTGTCGGCAAGAGTATATTCACCCCCAGATACTCACTCCCTGGTACAATTCGTCTATGGCCATGGCCCACAGCATGTTATCCAAGATTTTTATTACAAGATTCAACCAATAAAAGTGGAGTAATTATGACTCAATAGGATCATCCTACAATTTGACGACTTCAAAATGTTGTGCATGTTATGTTAGAAAAAGATAATACACTTTGAGCTATGTATATGCAATTGATTTCTCAGAAAGAGCTTCAATTGAGTTATTATTCAAATTAGTGTATTTAACGAACATTTTTGTGGGGATCATTCCACGTTGTATTTCAACGATTCGAACTGTTTTTTTAGGTATTTTTTCAAAAATCATCTCTCCAAAAAAACACTGAAATTCGAAATCATTCAATTAAATGGTTGTCATTCTTGTCTTGAAGTGTTGTGTTCGTCTATTTGATCAGTGACAACTAAAAGTCTTAATTGTTTTCAATTTGTCATGATGATCCACCAAGATATGCTAAAACTATGGCTTCGCCTTCTTCATGTATAATACACAATCATGTGAAACACGAGATTGTCCTCCCTAAACAGTGAATGCAATCAAAACTTCTTTCAAAGAGACATGACATCCTTTTTGGTGTTGTTGTTGTGCTGTCGCGTTACGATTATTGGTCTTGTTCCTTTTTTCTTTATTGGTCGAAGGTCTTGTTGCTTATGTGGTCGAAATTGAACCTTTCATTCTATCTTCTTTGTACTTTTTCTTTTTCTGTCCCTTTCCAATTTTTTCAAGCTGTCCATAACAATTTTATTTTTCAAAGTATCAGTTTATATTGTTTGTCTCCTCGACAAAAAAAAAATATTGTTGGTCTCCAAAAGTATAATTAATTGTTGCACAGATAACAAAATTTGAAGAAAAGACGAGATAGCTTTATGTTCATTTTGCTTTTTCTTCTTCATTGAAGCTTTTAAATATGTGATTGATACCTACAACAAAAATAATTTGCTCATGTGGATGTTCATCTTGGAGACAGATGTCAGTTCCCATATGCTTGGTTTTCCATTACCAATGAAAGAAAAGGAGAACAGAAATTACTCTGATTTTTTATATTAATTGTTTAGTGATCACCAATTCGCTACGTGTAATAATTAGTACTTCACAAAACACATTGCAAGTAAAATATGAAGAAAACTAAACATCAGGATTTGAAATTGTAAAAAGCATGTCAACCGTCTAGCCCAATGAAAAAGAATATTGATTTGTAGACTAGTGATCTCAGGTTTGAACATCAATGTCATCTTGGTAGTGTGTGTGTGAGACTATCACTTATATTTAAAATAAAAAAAATTAAAGCGTAAGATAGTTTATAAATAATTAAAGGGAAAAATCAAATACAACATTTCCTACGGGCAATTGAAATATTATGATAATAATCAAACGGTTAAACGATTTCCGATTTGGTTATTTTATTTTTGTGAGGACATATAATGTAATGAGCAAAGATGAGCTGATGAGCCTAACATTATTATTATTATCATTATTATTTTAATTTATAATTTATTCAGATACAGTTGACCCGTGAGGTTGTAGCAATTCCACAAATTGAATTATACCAATTGCCAGTGCAGACTGCAGAGTTGGTTTCCATGGGCTACACGGCAACCATGATCGTGTGGTCACGATGTAGTGGAAGTGGCACATACAAATTACAATTTGCGCAACAAGAAAAAAGCTTGTGATTCTGTTGGGATTAATTCATTCGAAGTACAGAAATGCTCAACTTCATCTCTACATCTGCCTCGCGTGTGCATATATGTGGTTTTTTAGGTGAGACCCAAGGGTATCCACCGCCGACAGCAGTGACTAATCCCTTTCGCCGCGGGAGCTCTCCCAATGGAGGTAAACAGCTGGCCATGAAATGCGCTCCATTCCCATAGGCGGGGATCGAACCCCCAACCTCATGGTTAAGGAATGAGGTGAGCTACCACCACACCACATCTCATGGTTGCATATATGTGGTTTAAGTCACAAGACAAGCCGATATCATAATCTCTCTCTTGATTTGGTTGTCAGACTCAGATATATTTGCGAATAGGAAATGAAGCATTGATTTTGTTAGTGGATATGTTGAAATATCATTGTTAAAATAAAATTTGATGATTTGGTCATGCAATGTTGATGCTGCCTTTCAATTTTTGATGCTTAGGCAATTCATCATTTCTTAAGGTCTATCTCTAATGTTTTGGGCTGATCTCACTCAGGAGATTCACTATTATACCCAATATAAGAGCCTAAATTATAAAAACACCCTATATGAAATGGACTTTAAAAACACACCCAAAGCCCATTTACAACATAACAAAAAAGCTTTTAATTTCTTTTAAATTACAAAATTGCCATTAATTTCTTAAAACAAACCTAACCCCAAAACCTCATAAAAAGGCCCAAAACACTCAATAGGGCATCAAAGTAATTTAATAATCGAAATTAAATTCAATAAGGCCAGCTGTCATTTTTTGGGTTTTTTTTGGGGTTTGTTTATAGAAATTCAATGGTGTAGAGCTTATTTATAGTTTTTGTGCTAAGAATGAGTATATGACTAAATATCTCATATGAAATTTGATTATTTGGTCATGCTATGAGGATTGTATCTCATTCAAGGCTACAGCCTACAGGTAATTGAGATCATGATGTGTGTATTTTTTGACAGGATGAAAAGAGCCCTCGAGGTTATCGGCTGGTTGGAGATGTCTGCTATGAGGAGGAGGCCTGCCAGATTGCTTCACCAATTACTCCAGTACCAGCAACAAGAGCTAACAGATCAGAAGCACACTTAATTTAACACATCCAGACGTAGTTCGACAAGGAAACAATAGGAGAAGATTAGCCAATTGAGACAGACGGATGATCCTCAACGTCAAAGCATAAGCAGCCAATCCAGAATATTAAACAAACAAGGTTGCAACTTGCAGTCATAGCAGCTTTCCATCAGTAAGATCAATTCGCGCTTCGAAAATGGTCCACTCCAGTTTTTTTTTGCAATTTTGTGCTCCTAAGAATTGAAACCTGAAAGATGGAAACAATTTAGTCCACAAATTCACTACGGATTCAACATTCTTGTTCGAAATCAAATAGATATTGACAGTATGAGGCAGAAGATAAAGCATTTAGTTTTAAAGTTGCCAAATAACAATATAATATACTCCTTTGGGCCTGAGAAGGAACATATGTTCTATATTTGGCATAAGGGCAGTTGAGGATCCAGGGAAATATTTGGGACTGCCAACATTTTGGGGCCGCGCAAACGGGGAGGCAGTATCGTACATCAAACATCGCATCCACCAAAAACTACAAGGCTGGAAGTAAAGTGTTTTATCGCAGGCGGGGCGTGAGATTATGATTAAAGTCGTGGC